ATTCCCATTCATTCATGTCAATCACTTCAGTGGGATCCGTTGTGAAGTGCCACTCCCCAATTGTTCCTTCTGTCCCAAGCTCTTTAGTCTCAATAATCTCTTGCGGAACTTGTTGTGTAGTCTGGTGTTTGTCGGATGGTCCTTTCTGTGACTTCTTTGGTTTCCCATTAACATACTCAAAGTAATACGACCGAGCGGCTCGCTCTTGTTTTTTACTATCTTCCCGCTTCTTCCGAATATCGTTTAAACTCTCCCGTATCCCCGTGTCTTTTGTAATCACTTTTTCACGAATCGCGTTGTGCTCGATGTCTTGCCCCATCTGCTTCACTGCAGCTTGTTCCATTTTCGATATGTCATTAAGCAAATCAAATTCACGCTTGTCTTTGCGCGCCTCCGCGCGCTTCTCTTCTTCTAAAAACTTTTGCATACATCGTTTGTGGCTTCCCGATGATTCGTGTTGTTGTCTTGTCTATCAATTACTTCCATTTATTAAAAATAGTTTTATTTTAAACAAACCACTGCTTTGTTCTGAATAAACTTCTTACAAAATTTGCACCAGTACATTTGTTGTTTGTCTGACATTAATATAACAAATGAATTACTCAGTTATAATAAATAGTTTTTGACCATTTAATAATATTTTTAATAATATTTTTAATAACAAATTTCAATTCAAAATAAACACATAACAACAAAACTAACTAAGAAATTCATTATATTTAGTCTAAAAAATGTTATTATTGTGCCTTTCTCTCATCACTTTAGTGTTTTCTACTACGTGTACATTAAGCTCTAAACAGAAAGATATCATTAACTTTACAGACCCAAATGTATTTGTTGAAGCGGGATGCCCATGTGACGGAACAGACTGTGACTTTGACTTGAGTGCGCTTTCTTGTGGGAAGACATTGAGTGAAATAACTACAACGGCAAGACTTGTCCTCTCCCCATTGAATCCGTCATGTTCCAAATTACCGACTTTATCGTTTGCAGGAACGTCGACTATAGAAAGAATAGACGTTGGGTGCGTTATCTTTAAAACAACGACCAACACGGTATTGACAGTCTATGCTTTGGAGTTTATAATCGAACAAAATGACGTTCACTTTGTCAATATTACGGAGACTGTATTACTCAAAGACATCTTCCCACGTAATGTCTCCGACGCCGCAGTCTATTTCCAGAACTCCCAAGTCGTTGTTTTCGATATAGAGAAATCAGTCGTCATCGATCTCCAAAATTCGCATCTTCGATACAACTCACAACAAGTCCTCATCGACAACATCGTTAGACTCAACCAATCAAACATCTTCTCTTCTCATCCTTTAACAATAGACAATGCCACTTTCGAGTTATACTACAACACCTCTGGCATGTGGAGTGAACTCTATGCCGAGTCAAGCCTCAATGTTTCCTCGATGACAGTGGTACTGACAGTTGTTGGAACTCCTCCGAGCGAAGACGCCGCCTGTTATGTCCAGACGTGCTCTCCGTTTATTTCGAACACTGTTGGATATGATATTTTCTTCTCAACGGATAACACTCTCTTTACGTCAAACGATGAGCGAATGGATCACCTTGTCATAGTCCATGGGGACCAATCAATCGACTTATGTTTTACACGAGACGATGAATGTAAATTTATCGACAAGTATGGCTATATCATCGCATTCTTACTCTTTGTAGCTATATCCTTGCCATTTCTTGTCATTCCTGTAGTGATATGGATCAATAAATTTAGTTGTCGACAGAAGGATATGTACTACGACTTCTAGTTCAGTTGTTTAGTACATATTAATAAAGTCAATAGTAATCAATTGGTTACTATTGTTATTATTAGAATATGTGTAAGTCTTAATGTAATTGATGTCTTGTTGTGGTTTTTGTGTCTTTTGTGTCATTTCAAAGTGTTGAATAAGAAGTCGAATGAAATGAGAGATATTTAACAATGAATTAATTTGAGTCTGAAATAAACACAAGCCTGAGCTTTAATACGTCGTTCTGCCGTTTCAAATATTCGATTT